GTTGTGAGAAGGGCATTGCAGTAAAAGAGAATGAGCATATGTAAGGACTCAGTATTCTGAAAGAGCCTGCATATTTGAAGAACAGTGTGAAGTTCAATGCAACTAGAGCATTATTGTCCAATATAAATATGTAATTTAAAATTTTCTAATAGACATATTAACAAGTAAAAAGAAATAGGTGAAATTTATAATAACATGTTATATAAACTAATATATCTGAAATATTTATGTTGTTTTTCCTTCATGCTTACATCTTTAAAATCAAATCATGTATATTTTATGCTTACAAAATATCTCAACTTGGACTACCTACAATTAAAGTGTTCAATATCTAGAAGCTTAGAAATGTGTGTGTGTGAGAGAGAGAGAGAGAGAGAGAGAGAGAGAGAGAGAGAGAATGAGAATGAAAATGTGTGTGCTCTAGAGCGGGAGAAAGATATATGAGGTTGAAGTAGTCATTGAAGTCATATGAAAGGTCACATGAAAGGACTTGTATGCTAGCTGAATTTAGAATTTATTTTTATAATTTAGTAACATATGACCGCACTTCTCAAATTATATGTGGTGAAGGACCAGATTTTTAAATTTCAAATTTGTTGTAGACTAATACTTATATAAAAGTAACAATAAATTAGAAAAATGAAATAAAAAATACATACAAAGAGAAGCCCCATTTTAAAGAGTTTTTAATTCTATTTTTTTAAATTGATAAATAATTGTACATATTCATGGAGTACATAGTGATGTTTTGATACATGTAATGTATGGTGATAAAATCAGGGTAATTAATATATCTATCATCTCAAACATTATATCTTTGTGTTGGGAATATTCAGTATCTTCCTTTTAGCTATTTGAAACTATATATTATTATTAACTATAGTCAACCTACAGTGTTATAGAACACTAGAACTTATTCCTCCTTTCTAGCTGTGATTTTGTATTTTTTTAAAAACATATCTCTGCCCATCACTCCCTTTCTTCTACCCTTCACAGCCTCTAGTATCCTCTGTTCCACTTTTTACTTCTATGAGATCAACTATTTTTTTAGCTTCCACATATGAATGAGAACATGTGGTGTTTAACTTTCTGTTACTAGCTTTGCCTCCAGTGCCATCCATGTTGTGGCAAATGACAGATTTCATTCTTCTTTATGACCAAATAGTATTCCATGGTGTATATACCACATTTTCTTTATTTACTCATTTGTTTTTGGACATCTAGGTTGATTTCATATCATGGCTATTGTGAAGAGTGCTGTAATAAACATGGGAATGCAGATCTTTTTTAAATATAATTTCTTTTCCTTTGGAAAAATTTCCAGTAGTGGGATTGCTGGGTCATATGATAGCTCTATTTGTAGTATTTTTGAGGAAACTCCATACTGTTTTCCTTAGTGGCTGTACTAATTTTCATTCCCACCAACAGAGTATGAGTTCCCTTTATCTGCATCCTTGCCACCATTTGTTATTTTTTGTTGTTCTGATAACAGCTATCCTAACTGGATTAAGATGATACCTCATGGTGGTTTTGATTTGCATTTCCCTGAAGATTAGTGATGTTGAGCATTATGTGTCTGTTTTTATGCCAATACCATGTTGTTTTGGTTACTACAGCCTTGTAGTATACTTTGACGTCTGGTAGTGTGATACCTCCAGGCTTGTTCTTTTTGCTCAGAGTTGTTTTGTTAATTTAAATTGAAATAACTAAACAAGACCATTGGCTACTGTACTGGAAAGCATTGGATGCATTTCCTCTTAATCCCTGTATTTACCTATTGTGGATTAGTGAAAAACGGTTTGTGAAAAACGGTTTGTGGACTGGCATCAGTCCACAATCCATGCTTTGAGCAGTCCTATTCTGAGTGTGGACTGTAAAGCTATAAAGCCTTTGTGTGTCTTTGGCAAATTATTTAATCTCTTGGTGACCTAGTTTCCTCATTTGTAAAATAAAAGTAATAAGAAACCACCTCATAAAGTTGTTGTGAAGATTAAGTGGGTTAATGAATGGAGTATACATAGAGCAATGTCCAACACCTGGCAAGCACTGTATAAATGTTTCCTGTTATTGTTATCATCATTATTGTTTTTATTATTATAAAGTAGGTGATAGATCCCATACAATTAAATGGTAACAAAGCCCAATCTTTTTAATTCTCTGCTTTTTGTAGTAGCTTAGATTTCTTCCTTCTAAAAACATACCATAGTCCCTGGCATGCAGTGGCATTCAATAAATATCTTTTGAACATAAGCATAAAGTACTCTTTGAGCACAGATGAAGAAATAATTATTTTTTGCGTAGAGGGGATTAGAGAAAGTATCAAGGAAAGATAACATCTGAGAGAGCCTCAAAGGGTGAGTTCAGTAGGCAGTGAGGAAAGAATACATCAAGATGAGGGAGCATGGACACCCATTTGGAATATACTCTACATAGGGGCGGTACCACAGATAAAACTGTCTTAGCAGTATCACTGCTACCACTACTTATTTCTCCCCTTACTAGTTCCCTTCTTATTTTAAGATTTTAGCGTATTTTAAACAGAATTACTAGGTAACATGATTCTATGATGTTAATAATTGCTGCCTTATTAATAAGACCAGTCACTGACTCTTCACTTGTGTATTCCTGGGAATTATTTAATGGTGAATTTGGTGATGGAGATTGGGCAATGGTTGGGAAGGGAGAGGGAATGCTGCTTAAAAAGCAGTCCCTGAGTTATGGGCAGATGGCTGTGAGATTCTTTTTTCCTAAAACATAATGTTTCTTACTTACATAGATTATTTTAGGAAGACAACCAACTAGGAAAAAAATGAAGTTCCTTATCTTCACATTTGTTGGCATTATTCACCTGTTATACCTGGACTCTGGGAAAGCTATGTGCAAGAATGACATCTCCCAGAGGACTTTTCAAGAAATACAAAAAGAAATAGCCAGCTATGGAGACATTGCTAAAGCAATCATCAAACTTGCTGTTTATGGCAAAGCCCAGAACAGATCCTATGACCGATTGGCACTTCTGGTTGACACTGTTGGACCCAGACTGAGCGGCTCCAAGAACCTAGAAATGGCAATTCAAATCATGCACCAAAGCCTGAAGGATAATGATCTGGACAATGTCCACTTGGAAGCAGTCAAAATACCCCACTGGGAAAGGGGAGAAGAATCTGCTGTGATGCTGAAGCCGAGAATTCACAAGATGGCTATTTTAGGTCTTGGCAGCAGCATTGGGACTCCCTCAGAAGGTATTGTTTGTCTTCTCAGTTTGCTGTATATTTTATAAAATTAACGTCACTTGGCATAATTGATTACACTATGCATGATTCATATTAAAGTTTTGTAATAGAAGGAAAATGTAATAATTTCCCATTGCATTGGCGTAATAAGTTCTCTACTCTCATACTCTTTTTCTTTCTTCCTCTCATTCCTTACTTCTATTTCTTTTCTGAAAGAAAACTGATTGTGTAGGGTTACTTTTTATATTTTTTTTAAATA